AGGTGTGTCGCTCGAAAGCGTGATGCTCATTGTACTGATCGTGCCGATCATGAGTGCGCGACTGTTTCTCGCGTAGGTGCTGCTGGAGGACGTATTGCTCGTAGCACTGCTCGTCGCAGTCGTGGTTGCGAGGCTGCTGGTGCCCATGTGCGCGAGCCCTAGCGGGCTGGCCATGGGCCTCGCTGCACTGACCGTCACACTCGTAAGGCTGAGAGCGTTGATGCTGTCTCCCGCCGTACTGTTCGACGCTGTGGTGCTCCATCCCCTGGCTGCTCAGTGTCGAGGCGCTGGTGGCCGACATGCTTCTGAAAGACGCGGTCGTTCTGGACTCTGTCGTGCTGCCCGACGCCGTGGTACTCGACTCCGTCGCGCTGTTGAGTGCAAAGGTACTGGTCGCAGACGTGCTGCTGAAGGACGTGATGTTCGATGCACCGGTCATCTCACTCGTATGTGCAAGGTTGTTGAGGCTGGATCCCTTCGTGTTGCTCGACATTGTAGTGGCCAATTTCGTCGTGCTACGCGGTGTCACTATGGTCCTGGACGTGTTGTTCGAATTCGTGATACATGTGAGCCTGGTCGTCTCACTCGTGGTTGTGATGTGGAACTGCTGATGCTAAATCCAGTCTTGTTGCACTGTTCGTCTTGCTCGAAGGTGTGAGGCTGGTGGTACTGGTTACCGCCTTGGTGCGCAACGTCATGATGCTTGGTCTCGCCGTGCTGCTCCGTGTCGAGGTGCTGGTCCCTGGCGTGCTGCTGACAGTCGTTGTGGTTGCTGTACTGGTCGTCTTGCTCGTAGTGAGGCCATTGGTGCAGGATCCCGTCGTACTGCGCAGCGTCGTGGTGCTCAGCTCCGTCGCGTTTCTTGGTGTCAAGGCGCTGGTGACAGATGAGTTGTTGGCCGGCGTGGTGTTCCATGCCCTGCCTGCCCCACTCGGTGTGAGGCTGCTGATGCTGGATCCCGCAGCACTGCACGTCGTGGTGGTACTCGACTCCGTCGTGCTGCGTGGTGTCCCGAAGCCGGTCACGGCTGCTCATCGCAGTCGTGGGTGCGAGGCTGCTGGTGCCAATGTGCGCGAGCCCTGGTGGGCTGGCCATGGACCTCGTTGCGCCGCAAGTCACACTCCTGAATGTGGGGGTGTTGGTGCTGGCTCCCGCCGTACTGTTCGACGCTGTGGTGCTCCACTCCCTCTCATCGCTCAGTGTCGAGGTGCTGATGACACACGTGCTGTTGAAAGACGTGGTGCTGGGTCCAGTCATGCTGCCCAACCTCGTGGTACTCGACTTCTTCGCGTTGCCTCAGAATCGGTCGCAGACGTGCTGCTGCAAGACGTCGTGCTTGATGCACCGTCGTCTCTCTTGTAGGAATGTAGCTGCTGGAGCTGTATCCTGTCGTACTCGACGTCGCATTGCTCGATTGCATCGTGCTATACTATACGGCGTCACAATGGCTCTGGGCGTGGTGCTCCAAACCGTCATCACCGTGATACTCGTTACAATGCTCGTCTCGCTCGTAGATGTGAGGTTGCTGTTGCTGGGTCTCGTCTTGATGCGCAGTGTCGTTGGGATTGATGCCGTCCTCAGAGTCAAGGTGGCGGTCCCTGACGTGCTGCTCGAAGGCATGGGACTCATCGCAATGCTCGTCTCCCGCGTAAATGTGAGGCTGTTGATGCTGGATGTCCAGCGCCGTGGTGCTCAACTCCGTCGCGTTCCCCGGTGTCGAGGTGCTGGTCACAGCCGTGCTGCTGAAGAACGTGTTGTTAGTTGCACTGTTTGTCACACTCGTGAGTGCGAGTCTGCTGGGGCTGGAGCTCATTGTGCTGCTCGACGTCGTAGTGCTCGATCTCATCGTGCTGCACGCGATGGTCCCAGATGTGCCGCTCGAAGACGTGGTGATCTTTGCACTGCTCGTCTCAGTTTTGGATGTGCGGCTGTTGGGGTACCGGATCCCGTTTTGGTGCGCAACGTCGTCGAGTTTGATCCCTTCGTGCTGTACAGTGCCGAGGTGTTGGTCCTTGACATGCTGCTCGAAGGCGTGGTGTTCGTCGCACTTCTCGTCTCACTCGTAAAAGTGGGGCCATTGGTGCTCGACTCCATCGGATTAGACAGTGTCCAATGGTTGGTACTGTACGTGCTGCACAAAGACTTGGTGCTCGTTGCTCTGTTCGTCACAGTCGTGGGTTCGAGCTCTGGTGGAATGGCGGCGACCATGAAGGCAAGGCGGATAAGGCGTGTGCTCGCCCTAATCGGGTTTTTGAACTTGTGCGTTGGAGTGGTGCTTTGCGATGCGTGGTCCAATGGATTTAGCGAAACGTACGAGCCGAGGCTAGCTAAAACCGTCGATCGCTCCACGACGGGAAGAGAAGCAAAGCTGTGCTGCATAACACACCCAATCATTATGAGCAATCCTGGCACCCATGTCGCAGCTTCGTGCAGAGGAAGAGTTGGGTAGGGGTAGCGGATCCCGCCCTTACAGGCGTCTCCCTCATTGTTCATAGGTATGAGGCTGCTGGGACTATATCCCGTCGTGCTGCTCAACGTCGCGGTGTTCGCTTTGGTCGTGCTGCCCGGTGTCACGATGGTACCGGCCGTGCTGTTCCGAGACGTCATGTTCGTTGCGGTGCTCGTCACCCTCGTAGATGTGAGGTTGCTGGTGCTGAGGCTCGTCTTGATGCGCAGCGTCGTGATGCTTGCGCCCATGCTGCTGCTCAGAGTCGAGGTGCTGGTTCCTGGCGTGCTGCTCGACGACGTGGTTATCCTTGCACTGCTCATCTCCCTCGTAAATGTGAGGCTGTTGATGCTGGATCCCGTCGTACGGACCAACGCCTTGGCGCTCAGCTCCGTCACGTGCCTCGGTGTCGAGGTGCTGGCCACATCCGTGCTGCCGAAGGATGTGGTGTTCGCTGCACTGCTCGTCTCGCTTGTAGGCCTGAGGCTGGTTGCGTTGTATCGCGTCGTGGTGCTCGATTTCGTCGTGCTGCACGGAGTCACAATGGTCCCAGACGTTTTACTCGAAGGCGTGGTGCTCGCTGCACTGCTCGTCTCTCTCATGGTTGTGCGACTGCTGGTACTGGACGCCGTCTTGATGCGCAACGTCGTGGCACTTGGTCTCGTCTTATTGCTCTTGTCCGCAAGTCCTGCTATACCGTTCACGACCATGATTTCGAGGAAGACGAGGGATAAGTGCCGCTAAGCCCCCGAGGGGAGCTCGTGCCGATATGTGCCCAAGCGGGGCTCGCTGAGGTGTTCCCTCTGCCCCCTGGGTGTACGTAAGCCCTGTCGGTGCCACAGTCGATGGTGCGACAGCTGGCACTGGAGATTCGAACTCACGTGCTGACAAGGGCTTCCGCATGTGCGCCGGCGGGCTTGGTGGCTCAGCCGTAGGCCCCGCCGTCGTCAAGGCTGACGTGTCAGTTGTCCTGCGCCCTGACGTTGTTGCAGTGTTTCATCTCAGCCTCTTGGCCTCCTCAGGGGGATTCGGCATCAAGACGGGGCGAGGGTTCAGACTTGACATGAACAGGACGGCGGCATTGCCGTTCGTCATCAGAACCACCCAGTGCTGATTCTGATCCCCCGTGCGGCCAATGACGGTGCCGTGTTGGCCGCTGATGGGGCTCTTCACGTGGTTGGTGACCACTACCTCGGTGCCTTCCTGGGTGGGCGGAGGCACAGGTGGCGGGACGAGGCCTGTGGTGTCGGGCAGCGCTTCGGCCCTGTTGGACATTGCGTTTGCCCCGGTGGCTCAGTCCCGAGATCGGGCGACCAGGCCTTCACGTTGTCTGGCACTGGTTTCGGTGGATCCGCCTCGGCGCAGAGATCCTCTACGGCATCAGACTCGTTAGCTCGCGTGAGTGCTATCGTGGAAGCTGGTGACGTGGAAGGTGGTGCTGCCAGTGGCACTTGCCATGCCGTGGGTGTCAGTGAGGCCTCGCCTGGGTTCGCCCTGGGCTCCGCCCTGCTGGCCTGGTGGCGGTTGCCCCCTCCGAGGCGAGCGCTGGGAAGATGACGACAGAGTTCCGAGGATCTTCGGTCTGTGTTATGGTGCTGGTGGGGTGTTGGTGGATGCGACTGGTGCGTGAGATCTCGTGATCGGCCCCGTTAGACGGCGGCATGATCAGGACGTCCCAGTTTCGTACATCACGGCTGGTGAGAAGGACGGTGCCGTTGCCTTGGTGGGCGTCGGCCGCAGTCGTGGACCCTGCTGAGTCACGGTTGGTGTTTGTTTTGTGTGTTCAGGAGGTGATGCAGTTTGGCGTAGCTTCTCGTGTAGGGAGTGATGTAGCTTGGTGTAGCTGCTCTTGCTTTCCACATAGTTGCATCAGCTTGCCCCTAAGCTTACGCTGGTCGGACTTGTGTTGATGGTTGATGTTGTCAAGATCGACTTGATGCTCATCAGCAAGTTCGTTGTACGCAGCGGTTCCTCGGTCGACGCCGCCACTGCTCTGGAGTGCGGCGACGCTGGCTTCATCTCGGCCGAGTTTGGTATCCTGCCGATCTGCTGAGGTTGCCTTTGGGCGGCCCTGGCCTGGTGGCTGAGGCTGCGGTGGTACCTTCAGCGCACGGCGAGGGCGCTCTGGCGCCATTGCGGCGCGCGCGAAAATACGACAGAGGATGCGACGCGAACTCGTCCAACGGTGAGGCCACAGACCCAGTCTCGCCGTGCTGCCAATAGAATGTTGAGGGGCGTCGTGTCTTGGCTGCGCCCTGGGTCTCGAGACCCTCGAGCCGAGACTGAAGAGCGAGGGGAACAGAGGGGATGGGGAGAGGGAGGAGGAGGAGGAGGAGGAGGAGGAGGAGGAGGAGGAGGAGGAGGAGGTGTTGAGAAGAGAGCCTACGGCTCCCGCATTGTCCGTTCCAGTTGCCGCAATGTTCCTCAGCCTCTTTCTCTGGCCGTCTCAGACGATGATCCAGTCGAGGTCTTCAGTCCTGCCGACGATGCCTACGTCCTCCCACGCTTTCAGCGCATTGTCAAGGATATCCAGGGCCAAATCTTACATGGCGGCCTACGGCGTCTCCGCCCCTTCCTGTGCCATGGAGACCAGCTCATCATAGATCATGCCAACGACGTGGCGATTATCTAGCATGGTGGGGTTCACGATGTCCTCCAGCTCCCCCAACGTGCCCTCGAACGAATCCTTCTCAGACAGCTGGTTCTTGTCGAGCCCGTCGTTCTTGGCCTGAACCGCTTTCCCGATCTTCTCATTGCCCCCGTCCTCAGTCCTCTCCTTGAATGTCTAATCCTGGGGGGTGTTGCGCACGTTGGAGCTGTAGTTGTCCAAGCCGTGCTTCGCCTCGATATTCGCCGTGTTCGTCTCGTCCGCGGCGCGATCTTGCTCAGTCTTCTGCGCGATGCGGCCGATCACCAATGGGCACAATCTCCTCTAATGCGGGGTCGTGACCCTGTTGGACTCGACAACGTACTTGCCCCGTGCGGACTCGTTCGGAATGATGTTCGCATCGATGTCGATGTCCTCCAGCTCCTTCCGCGTATCCTCGGAGTTCTCCTTCTTGGACAGCTGGCTCATATCGTGCCCGTCGATAGTAGATTGGTCAGCCTTCTCGACACGCGCCTTTGCCATGTCCTCGGACGTCTCCTTGAACGTCTTCTCCTCCTGGGAGCTGCGCACGTTGGAGCTGTAGTTGTTCTAGCCGTGTTTCGCCTCGATATTCGCCGTGTTCGTCTCGTTCCCGGCGCGGAATTGATCGGCCCTCTGCGCTAGGCGGCCGATCTGCACGGGATCGTGATCAGGTTGGACGTGGCACTGTACCTGTCCTGTGCGGACTCGGTCAAGGAGCTGTTCGCGTCTATGTCGATGCCCGCCAGCTCCTTCTGCGTGCCCTCGGACGCATCCTTCTCGGACAGCTGGTTCGTGTCGGGCCAACGGTAGGTAGCCTTGGCCGCCTTGACGCTCATCTCGTGCTCTTCGTGTTTGGACTCCTGCCACATGGTGCCGTCGGCGTCCTCGAACAAGTCCTCGTTCTCCTCCACGCTTTCCTGCAAGCGCTCCAGCTTGCCGAAATGCACGGAGCGCGCCGTGTGCAGCCGTAGCCTCCGATCCTTGCTGCTGCGCGCCTCGGAGCAGCCCCGAGATGGGAAATACAGCCCAGGCGGGGCGGGCACACACACAGCGTCCAGTCTCGTGCGAGAGTCTAAGAACATGCGAACCATCGCTGCTGCTTGCCAGAGGCCACAGCGCATGTGGGTAAAGGTAGGGCCGTACAATATCAATGCGAGCCTTCTTAGGCCCCGTGTGTTTCTGTCTGAGCGTTTCTGCCTGAGCAGCAAGGGTGATCAGGACGAGGAGAAGGAGGAGGAGGAGGAGGAGGAGGAGGAGGATGAGGAGGAGGAGGAGGAGGGGGGAAGGAGTGCCCAAGAGAGTGCGCAGAGCATTGGGTGCGACCGTTTGCGGCTGGCCCGAAGTTTGTGCTCCCCCGCCCATGCCAACGTGTTCCTGAAGACGCTCGCAGGCTGCTGAGTAACCTCCCACAGGTTCCCCCCCCCACCCCCCCCACCCTGGACCGTGTCTTCTTGGATGTCCCCTCGGTTTGTCTGCTGGAGGTCGTCCCATCGACCCTGTCGTGACTCACTGTTTCACTACAGGCCGTGTGTGATCTTTTCAGAGGCGACCGTGCCTTCCCTGGCTGTCCTTTGGCGTCCTGGGGCCGCCGCTCCCTCCCCCTCGGCGTTCCAACCCGTGACCGCAAGATACCGCCTCCACAAGTCGTCTTCTGTGCTGGCCTCCGAGTCGGCACGCAAGCCTGGCAAGGGAGGACACTCGTGAGGCCACCACCGTTTTGCGGGGGAGGCTGTGTGCACCTGCGGGCGTCCGGCGAGTCGAAACGCCCGCGCAAGTGCAAGGCCCCTGGCCGCTTCATGTAGGAGGGCGCAGCGTACGCGAAGGGCGCGGTGGCGAGCGTTGAGGATCCTGGATATGGGTCCGCAGATCCAGTCGAGACCTCGCGGCTCCCCCAAGGAAGCTGCCACCTGCGCAATGGTCGCCACTTTCGTAGGCTCCTGGGAGGCCCATCGACGTAGGGGTGCACACCGGATACACTGGTGGCTGGCATCCTTGGCAGCGGGCCAGCGCCCCTCGCCGCTCCAGAGCCCCTCGCCTCTCCAGCCCGACGGGGCTGCCCGCCCCTAGCGAGCTGCGCTGCAGGAGGAGCACGAGGCACTCGTCGCCCCCCCCCGCCGCCGCCAAGGGTGGGCACCTCTCCGGCGGGGCCATCGGCCGCGACGCCCTCGCGGGGCTGCTGGGCCACCTGAGGACCGCCGCCGCCGCCGTTGTCGTCGTCGTCGTCGTCGTCGTCGCCGCCATCGTCGTCATCATCATCATCATCATCATCATCATCATCACCACCACCACCATCATCATCATCATCATCATCATCATCATCATCATTCTTATCCTCATCCTCATCACCATCACCATCACCATCATCATCATCATCATCATCATCATTATCAGCAGCAGCAGCATCATCAGCAGCATCATCAGCATCATCTTCATCATCATCATCGTCATCATCACCATCATCATCAGCATCACCATCATCACCATCATGACCATCATCATCATCAACACCATTACCATTTACATCACCATCACCATCATCATCATCATCATCATCATCAGCATCATCATCATCAGCAGCATCATCATCATCAGCCTCTTCTCTCTTCGATGTCCGCCGATGGGAGCATCCTGCTGGGGTGGGTGGCTGCCGTGGCAGTCGGAGCGAATCGAGGAACAGACGGCATAACGCACATACACTTCCGGACGTCCGCGGGACCCCCCCCCGTCCCCGCCGTTCCTGAGCCGCCGCCCCCCCTCCCCCCGCCCCCCCCCCACCCCCCGGCGCGCCCCGCACGCTGGAGAGGAGGTGTGGAGCGGGTGTCCAGCGGTGTACAGCGCCGACGGATGAAATCTGCGAAGACCTCCGAAAGCGTATGTTCTCAACGCTTCCCGTATCCCCACCGGCCGATCCAGACGCTTGCCCAGCGGAGCTGCCCTGAGCAGGGGAGCGTCGCCTGGTTTGGTGATCTCGGGGGCTGTGTGGGCCAGATAACCCTTGGATGCTTCCTTGGGTCTCCTGAGGTGTCTCTTGGTGGCTCTTGGGGGCCTCTTGGGGCTCAGAGGGGCTTCTTGGGGCCTGTTGCGGCCTCTTGGGGTATCTTGGGGGCCTCTTCGGGCTCTCTCGGGGGCCTTCTGTGTCGTCTTAGAGCCAACGTGGAGGCGATCGATCCAAAACGGGGGGCGCCTGATTGGTTCTGCCTTCCCAGGAGGCCAGAATCAAATTCAATCCTGGGAAACATCAATGTGTTTTGTTTGATTTTCTCGCCGGGACCATCTTGGACGCTCTAACCTCTAACCCCACGGGCTAGGGGCTGGGATCAACCCCTTCCCAAAGAGGATGAAGGGGGAAGATGGACTAGGAAACGCCCTAAATCACCTCAACCCAGATGGGTGTCGGGACTCAAGCTTCTTGCGAAGGTGGACGGGAACCTCCAGAGGCTCGACATTTCGAGCCAGAGGTCTGTCTGCATGTTTGGGTTTCGGATGTGCTGTGTCGGGCGGGATGAAAATCTGGTCACATGGAAGGGTCCGAGAGGACCAAGGCCCGTAGACTCGCAAGCGCCGAACCGTCGGAGGTCTGTGGAGGGAGAGAGTTCCCCCTTTTCTTCAGCCTCCTCTCCATACTTCTCCTCCCCTCCACATTATTCCCAGAAGAGGGCTATAGCCGCGTGATCATGACCAGACCTGCGCCCTCACTGGACGGGCCTGCGGCTCCACCTGCTGTCTCTTCACACGAAAATGGACTACTGGTTATTGTTGTCCCATACGCATAATTCTGTGCGGGACACGCTCCTCCCCTCTTCCCCTTCCCCCTCCCCCCCCTCTCTCGTTCCTCCCCCCTCCTCCCTCTCTACCTCCCTCCCTCCCTCCTACTGCCTGAAGCTTTCTCCTCCTCCCTCCCTCCCCCCCCGTTCCCCTCCCTCCCCCCCGTTCCCCTCCCTCCCCCCCGGCCCTTCCTCCTCGCGCATCCCACTTCTGGGCGCGCCCGCGCGTGCGGGAGCGCGCGGGGGAGGCACCCCCTCCTGCGTCTCCTTCTCTCTCCCTCTCTCTGGCGAGCCCGCGCGCGTGGGAACGCGCGGGGGCTGAGGGGGTGAGGGGACGGGAGGCGAGGTCAGGGGAACGGGGAAGGAGTGAGGGCCTCGTCAACTCCGCCCTGTCGCACCCCAAGGTTGGTCGACAGGGCGGGCCAGGCGTTTCGCCTGAGACTTCCACACAACGTATGATCCTGAAGCTTGCAAGTTGCAAAAGCTGCACGGGTGTAGGGCAGCCCGTTTTCAAAATGTGGATCTCGCCATAGCGGCCCGCACATTCGTCGTAACAACTTGTAAGAGCTTCACGGATGTAAGGCGGCCTGTTTTCAAAATGTGGTTCTCGCCTTAGCGGCGCGCACATTCGCTTTCAAAGCTTGCAAGATATTCACGGATGGAGGGCCGTTCGTTTTCAAAGCTTGGCGCTCGCCTTAGTGGCGCGCTCATTCGCTTTCAAAGCTTGTAAGAGCTTCACGGATGGAAGGCGGTTCTTTTTCAACATGTGGTTCTCCTTTTAGCGCCCCGCACACACTCGTTTCAAGAATCCCACCAGCCCTCTGGGCATAGGTGGTCTAGTGTGTTCACTCTTCCAACCCTCTTATTCCACTTCGGGAGGGGCTTACCCCTCCCCCTACCTCCCCTGGACCTGGACGGGGGTTTCCGCGTGGGGTTGGAGCGTTCAAGATGGCCCACGATGGCTCCAAGAGCGCCTCGGAGAGCCCAAGATGAGCTCCAAGATCGCCCAAGATAGCCTAGTATGCCTCAAGATGGCTCCGAAGATGCTCCAAGGGGCCTCAAGACCGCCCCAAGACGGCTCCAAGAGGCCAACGAGCTTCCCGAGGAGGCCTCCAAGAGGCCAAAATCCGTCAACAACCTAAGGAAAACCACTGATGTTTGTTTTCTCGCTTTTTCGCTTCCGATGGCTATTCGGGACCTCAAGATGGCTCCAAGATGGCCCGAGAGAGCTCCAAGAGGGCCTCAAGAGAGCCGCAAGAGGGCCCCAAGAGCGCCCAAGAGCGCTCTAAGAGCACCTCAAGAGGGGTCCAGGAGGCTACGTTTGGGGCTCTCGAGAGGGGGGGGGGCGTAATTGAAGCTCCCATCTTTTTTGATTGATCCCTTCCAAGATGGCCCCAAGAGGCGCCCAGGAGGCCCCAAGAGGCCCCAAGATGGCCCCAAGATGGCCCCATGTGGCACGAAGAGGCCCCCAAGAGGACCCCAAGCGGCCTCAAGAGGCCCCTCCCAGGCACCCAAGACGCCCAAGAGTCCCTCCCTCAGGACCGCCAAGAGACCCCCAAGACGTCCCAAGAGTCTTACAAAACAGACACCAGCAGCAACAGCACCACCACCACCACCACCACCACCACCACCACCACCACCACCAACAGAAACAACGGCACCAACAGCAGCAGCAGCAGCAGCAGCAGCAGCACCAGCAGCAGCACCAACAGCGCGAGAACCAACACCACCAGCAGCACCAGCAGCAGCAGCAGCAGCAGCACCAGCACCAGCAGCAGCAGCAGCAACAGCACCAACAGCAGCACCCATACCATTCGCTACCAGAGATCTTCCAATTCACCGTTGTTGCCCACGCTGTTTCACTATGTGCGTCTCTTCCTCCCTTCTCCCGTCAGCTCTCCTGGGCATCGTTTTTGGATGGGCTTGTGGGGATACTTTTTTTGGTCAGCGGCTCCGAGGCAACGGACAGGGAGCGGAAGCGGCGTCCGGGTCACGGCACGGGGCACTTGTGGGGATACGCGAAGCGTCAACAATGTGCAGCAAATTTAGGATTCTCATAATGTAAGTCCCAGAAGTGGTGTTTTGGCACGATGCCGGAACGTCAGGGCGCAACAGTCACGTTGATTCTGCGGTGTTGAAGTTCCAGGAATGGTCTCCTGGCACAATTCAGGATTGTCAAGACGCTACAGTAACGGTGGCTCGCGGTGTTAATGTCCCAGGAACGGCGTTCTGGCACAATTACGGATTTGGGAACGTTTTTCTTCCAACGGGGTATTTCCCTCAGTGAGAATGAATTCGGAATTCGTATAGGAGCCTTTGAAGAGGGA